CTCCAGGGGATCTTCCTGACCCAGGGATCGAACCCACGTCTCTCATGTCTCCTGAATTGGCAGGCAGTTCTTTACCACTAAGATGCCACCTGGGAAGCCTCATTTAAAGGGGAAGCGTGTAAATTTCCTGGAAGCAGGCTGCAGTACTGACTTCAGTAAATTTACGTAAAATAGATTCAAGAGTGTTATAGTAAGTTATGAGACCTCCGTGACTTTATAAATGCAACCATTAGTTAATTAGTCATTTGCTAACACTAATCGTTAGGAAACACAATCCTTTAAGGCCTCAAGAACTAGAAATTTTAAGGCCCATTATTTCACGTGAAGTCACATACTTGAAGTCTGACCTTAAATTAATCCTCTAAAACATATTCAACCCCTCTTTATCAATTGGAAAATGCTTCATTAAGTCACACTTTTAAGATGACACCTAACAAAAATGAAACAGCCACAGGTCAGCCCCTCTCTGCCCATTTGAAGGGCCTGAAGGTGTCTGAAGAGTCTGTACTGCTCAGGAATGCAGAAAAGTCTGAGGTCAAGTCCAGTCAATATACAAACGCACCGAGTTTTTATAACGGGGATAATCTGTGCCCATCACTATAGCAAATACGATATAGAATCATAGAATGTTAGGGCTGGTGAAGACTTCAGATATCAAACGCCTGTTCTAGAGCTATTTACAAATTGATTGAAATGTTAAGAATCACATGTGGGTGGAGACGTGCAAACAATACATAAATAAGCAGAGACTAACAGATGCTGGGAAAACTCAGGGAAAGGAAAAAACAAATCTGGAAAAAACAAAGTGACTCAGCAGAGATTTTTAAGGAGGATCTGAGATTTCAGGTGGTCTGGGAAAGCAGCAACGTGGTGGAGAAGCAGGTGGGCCTTTCGTTCAAGTATGGCATGACTGTGGATAGAGCAGTGACTGCAGAAAGCCTGGGAACCAACACTGGAGAAGACACAGGGCTTCCTGGAGAATGGACCAGCCTTACTAGGGAGGGGAGCACCAGAAAGAGAGCGAAGTAGGCAGGTGAGCTCCTAGATCAGGACTTTTGATTGATCCTGTGTTGTGGGAGGGAGCCACTCTAGTTTCTTGAATAGCTGACCACACTTCTCAATCAGGCTCACGATGTTGGAAACAAAATAAAACCAAAACCATTTGTCGGGAAGATTAATCTGAAATCTGAGTGATGGATGGTTGGACTGATAGTGAGAGGACAGTGAAGAGATGATCTGGTCACCAATTAATAAGCGCCTACAGTGAGAGGGCAGAGAAGGCAATGGCACCCCACTCCAGGACTCTCGCCTGGAAAATCTCATGGACGGAGGAGCCTGGTGGGCTGCAGTCCATGGGGTCACGAAGAGTTGGACACGACTGAGCGCCTTCACTTTCACTTTTCACTTGCATGCATTGGAGAAGGAAATGGCAACCCGCTCCAGTGTTCTTGCCTGGAGAATCCCAGGGACGAGGGAGCCTAGTGGGCTGCCGTCTATGGGGTCGCACAGAGTCGGACACGACTGAGGCGACATAGCAGCAGCAGCAGCAGTGAGAGGGGCGACACGACTCGGGAAGAAGGGGAGCCCCTGGCAAGAGGCACAACATAGGATTTGGTGGCTCATTACTCATATGTGGCTCAAACATGAAGTCACATATTTAAAATCTGACCTTAAGTTAATCCTCTAAAAACATTTTTAACCCATCTTTATCAATTGGAAAATGCTTCATGAAGTTACACTTTCAAGATGACACCTAATAAAAAGGAAACAGCCACAGGTCAGCCCCTCTCTGCCCATTTCAAAGGGCCCAAAGATGTCCAAAGAGACTATACTGTTCAGGAATGCAGAAAAGTCTTCCTTTCTCCATTCTTAGAAATGTGATGGCTCTGGGACATGTAACTGAGCTAGAAGTCAGTAAGCTGGTTTGAGGGAGTAGGTGATGAATCCGCTCTTAGCCACGCTTAGAGTGAAAGCTGAGTGCCGAAGAATTGATGCTTTTGAACTGTGGTGTTGGAGAAGACTCTTGAGAGTCCCTTGAGTGCAAGGAGATCCAACCAGTCCATCCTAAAGGAAATCAGTCCTGAATGTTCATTGGAAGGACTGATGCTGAAGCTGAAACTCCAATACTTTGGCTACCTGATGCGAAGAACTGACTCATTTGAAAAGACCCTGATGCTGGGAAAGATTGAAGGCAGGAGGAGAAGGGGATGATGGAGGATGAGATGGTTGGATGGCATCACGGACTCAATGGACATGAGTTTGAGTAAGCTCCGGGAGTTGGTGATGGACAGGGAGGCCTGGCATACTGCAGTCCATGGGGCACAAAGAGTTGGACATGACTGAGCGACAGAACTTAACTGAGAGTGAGATAGGACAGCCAAACTAGAATTTAGATTCGATTAGATCATCAGTGCTGGCTGACCCTGCTCCCTTTACATTGACCATTCTTAATATAAAGCAAATAGATACAGAAAGCTGAGACTTCTGCTGTATTATTCTAATTCCACAAAATCATTTCTTGTTATTGTTTTCTGTTTACTTGTTTTCATAAAATTCTATGATGGAAACAGGCAGTCACTTTGCCATTTTTCAAGCACGGTAGAGCTCTACTCAGGCTTCCCAGGTGGCACCAGAGGTAAAGAACCCTCCTGCAATGCAGGAGACAAGGGTTTGATCCCTGGGTCGGGAAGATCCCCTGGATGGGGGCATGGCAACCCACTCCAGTACTCTTGCCTGGAGAGTCCCATGGACAGAGGAGCCTGGTGGGCTACAGTCCATAGGTTTGCAAAGAGTTGGACTTGACTGAATCGACTTAGCATGCACACAGAGCTCAAATCTCAAATTTCAGATCTCAAAGTCAGATTACCAGTGAGGAGGGACCTGAAATTCCAGGTCTCTGTGAACTGAGCTTTCTGAATTTCCTCTCCTTAGCATTACAGAGAGTCATTTTTTTTTTTCTTACCATGCATTACTTCTGCCTGGATTATGATACCAAAGAATTGGAATCAGATACTTATATTGCACCCTACATTTAGGTTAAAAAATTTCAAAACTTAAATTAGCATCCCCAAAGGATACAGCATTCTTAGCTTTTAACTCTAAAAATAATTTTACATATTCCCCAAATGTTTTTTAGAAATCTATTTTTCTCCCGTTCACTTAAACTTCATCATTTCATTCATCCCATTGTGGTCAGCTGGGCTAGGAAGAGAAGAAAGGAGCGAGCGATGTGATTGGTTTGTGGATGGTTGGAAATGTGCATTTGCCATTTGGTTGGGTGATTTGTCCTTTATGATGGTGCCTGAGCCTATAAAAAAATTGAAGTGGGATCTGAACGTGGCAAAATGTATTTGCTTTTCTTAGATAAATCTGTTAGTCTGGTTGTGCTGTAAAATGGCATTAATCCTCCACTGGAAATTGCACTTCCTACGCAACATACGCCACTCTGCCTTCCCTCACAGACTTCCCCAAGCAAAGTTCAAAATCTCTTCTGCATATGCTGTCAATGTCATAATGAAACCATGAAACCATGACTTTAGTTACTCGTTTAGGCTTATCTGAAAGCACTTCAAGGTAAAATTCTTTTTTTTTTATTTTTCCCCTGAGAAGGAAGGATTTATTACCTGCAGCAAATAAGGAGAACACTGGGGATCTCTCCTCAAGTAATGTCTCCTCAAATAGCAAAACTGGGGAAGATTTAAGCTAAGGGAATATGCATATTCATGAGGGAGCTTGAGCAGAGGAGAAACAAACATCAAATTGGGGCAAAGACGTGTGGACACCGCGGGGAAAGGAGTGGGTGGGACGAATTGAGACAGTAGCATTGAAACATATACATTATCAGTTGTCAAACAGGTAGCTAGTGGGAAGCTGCTCTATGACACAGGGAGCTCAGCCCGGAGCTCTGTGATGACCTAGAAGGGTGATACAGAGGGGAGTGGGAGGCAGGTTCAAGAGGGAGGGGACCTATGTATACATATATCTGATTCCAGAGACATGGCATCTGGTCCCATCACTTCATGGCAAATAGATGGAGAAACAGAGGAAACAATGACAGACTATTTTGGGGGCTCCAAAATCACTGTAGATGGTGAGACTGCAGCCATGAAATAAAAAGACGCTTACTCCTTGGAAGAAAAGTTTGTGACCAACCTAGACAGCATATTAAAAAGCAGAGACATCACTTTGCCAACAAAGGTCCATCTAGTCAAGGCTATGGTTTTTCCAGTGGTCATATATGGATGTGAGAGTTGGACTGTGAAGAAAGCTGAGCGGCGAAGAATTGATGCTTTTGAACTGTGGTGTTGGAGAAGACTCTTGAGAGTCCCTTGGACTGCAAGGAGATCCAACCAGTCCATCCTAAAGGAAATCAATCCTGAATATTCATTGGAAGGACTGATGTTGAAGCTGAAACTCCAATACTTTGGCCACCTGATGCGAAGAGCTGACTCATTTGAAAAGACCCTGATGATTTGAAAGATTGAAGGCAGGAGGAGAAGGGGATGAAAGAAGATGAGATGGTTGGATAGCATCACGAACTCAATGGACATGAGTCTGAGTAAGCTCCGGGAGTTGGTGATGGACAGGAAGGCCTGGCGTGCTGAAGTCCATGGGGTCACAAAGAGTGGACATGCCTGAGCGACTGGACTGACTCACTGACTGATATCTAATTTCAGCTGTTGCATGGCAGAACCCAACACAACATTGTAAAACAATCATCTTCCAGTTAAACTTTAAAAAAAAATAACAATTTTTAATAATTTTTTAAAAAAAGAGATAAGATTCTTTTCAAAAGAATTTAAAAAGCATTTCACAATTAGCCAGCACAAGAGGTAGCTATGGATAACTCCCAAAGTGGGTTTCTCAGAGCAAATTGCCAAGTAAAAGAGAATGCCCAAACTCACAAACTAGGAAGAAGAAAGATAATGGAATTTTGTACTGGATAAAATAAAAGGCACCAATATTAGAGATAAATAGCTTGCTTCCTGATGCGTACTTACCAGATTAAGGAATGTTAGGTACTTCCATTGTCCCCCATTTAGAAAGATTTGGGATTTCCGTGGATCCTGTACTTCTTGTGAGATATAAAAGTTGAGGAAGATATACCAGCTCAAGACAAACAAGTGGTATACACACGTAGACATCCTCGTCATGGCTAGGTCTGAGCAGAGAGCTGTGAGCAGCTTCCTTCCAGAGTCCTTGTCACAGCTGAAGTCCTAGGGCAGGCCAGAGACGGAGCGCAGTAAAACACACCCCTCTGGGAAAGACAACTCCAACACAGCTGGGTTTTGCTTCCCTCATAGGCTCCTGTCCTGATAAACGTGGGAGACAGGATTATTGCTGAGTCTCAGATGCCTTCATTTAGAAAACAGCAGGAAATCTGCTGCTTTGCATGTGAATTTCAGCATTTAGACTTTGAAGAGGGCAGGGAGCAATGCAAGAAGTGCCCTTTGTACTATTTGACCAGGGTGGAGCATGATTAAATGACCTCATCAGTAAGTCAAGTCTAGTGAAATACCCTCATGGCCGTATATTCTCTTTTCTACCCTTTCCTTTGGGACAGCGTGAAGACGTTGCCATAATATATCAGGAGAGAACAAGAATGAGGTTAACAGACCTGGTGGAAGAGATTATGGGTACGTTTAGCACAGAGGGGAGTAACTAGACATGGGAAGGGTGTTGTAATCTTGCTCTGAAGGTCTCTGAGGCCCTCTGAAATCTGAAATAACCTTTGATCCTCTATTGATCAGCCCCAGGGTTTTAGCTGCCTCACCACCGCCCCCACCCCCAAGATTTTTATCTGTATCCTAGAGAAACAAGCGTTACTGAGAGCTGTCCCACACACTCCATTTGCAAAGGCGTATCTAGTCCCTGGGAGGGAAGAAGTAGAGCAAGAGGTCTGTAGCCAGAGAACCGGGAAGAGACGTATGGCCGTGACCCCCACATACCTGGGTTTGGACACCGCTGGAAGGGAATGAGGGTCTCTGCATTGTCTTGGAGTGGACAAAATATGCTTAGACTGGGCAAAGTTTTCAGAACAGGGCCCTGCCACAGGCCTGACAGAGGGGACCTCAGAGAGGTCTGGAAGCATCTACCTTGTGACGTCACCAGCTCGCTTCCCCCGGGCAACTGGCTCCGAGGGTTCTGAGCAGATCCCTAAGGGAAGTGGTCCTGCTGCGGTTAGTGAGTCTGGAGTGGGTGGTGCTCGGGGATTTAACCAGAGCTCACAGGTACTAGGGGAAAGAACAGCAGGCTGAACCTGGAGCACAGAACACAAGGAAACATGCCTCCTGAGGACCACTGGATCCCAAACATCAGGCGCTAACCGTTAGGGAAGAGCAAGCCTCAGCCAACAGCATAGGGTCTGCATTGGAACCATTCCCAAAGGAAAGGATAGTCTGGGAAATGCGAGATATAAAACCCCATACACAGGTTCACAGCCTGAGTTAACGCCGCATATAACACTATCGCCTAATACAGTACTTACCCTGTGGGAGGGATTGTTCCAAGTGCTTTGTGCACATGAACTCATTTAACACTCCAAACACTACTATGAGGTAGGTTCTATTGTAATCCTCATTTTCAGATGAGGAAAGTGAAGCCCGAGCTGAATACATTCAACAAAAAGTAAGAGGCAGGTTGAGCTGCAGTCTGAACCCTAACCAGAGTGAAGTGAAAGTCGCTCAGTCGTGTCCAAGTCTGCGACCCCACGAACGGTAACCCACCAGGCTCCTCTGTCCGTGGGGATTCTCCAGGCCAGAATACTGGAATGAGTAGCCATTTCCTTCTCTGGGGAATCTTCCCAATTCAGGAATCGAATCCAGGCCTCCCTCACGGCAGGTGGATTCTTCATCATCTGAGCCATCACGCCTGACCACAGAGGAACCATACTTGCTCTGTACACTCTCAGACCCCCTTTGCAATATTTCTCTATTTCCCATTATGCCCGCTTTAATCCTCTACTTCTCCCATCAGAAAATTCTCTCAGGAAAGGATCAGATATGTCTTAAAACTTGGTGCACGTGCGGGTCCCTGTGCTGTCTCCCAGGGTGGATTCCTACTAAGCATCATCATAGATTGAGGGACTTTCATCTCTTTATACAAAGTCTCAAGCACAGGTCTGCAGATGGGTAAGGATTTGAAGAAATATTGGGAAACGAGAGGAGACAAAGACCTCAATCTCCCCGGCGTTTCCCAGGGAGCTGGTCCAGCCCTTTGTCCAACTCACACTATGTACTGACTGTAGTGATTTTGCCACCGTCTTGGTCTCTACCACTGTTTTCTAGCTTATGACCAAAATCTTCTACCTCTAAGTCCCAACCCTCTACCCATCCCCATCAAGCTTCAAACATATCTTCGACTACATGTTGAATATTCCTTCAGTAAGTTGGATGCACCCCAAATTCAAGATGTATAAAATGAATTCACTACCTTGCCCCAAACCTGACTATTCACTCATTCTCTATGAGTATGGACCCATTTTCTTCCTGGGAGTCCTCCTCGTTTCCTCTCTCTCAAGATGCCAAGCTCATCTTCCAAATCCAGCTTGAGTCCTCTTCTTTCCATTTCTTCTACAACTACCCTAGTTCAAGTCTTCTTCATCTCTTTCCAGGACTACAGCAACACTCTTCTAACTGGTTTTCCTAATTCTAGTCTCATCCCCCAGCTGTGTTCTTCACACGGTCAGGGAGTGATTCAACCTAAAACGCCAACCTTACAACATCTCTCCCCAACTCAGGTCCCTTGACTGTGTCAGTATCATTAATAGAATAATATCCAAGTCCCATAACTTGATGAAGTGGCCCCTCTCACCTAGCTCTGATGCTCTTTCCTGCCTCACTCCTGTCTCATACTTAATGCTCCTCCTACAACACCAAATCGGCAGAGTTTCCAATCACACCCGGCTATATCAGGTCCTGTGCCCTTACTCTTACTGTTTCTTCTCCCTGGTGGCCTCCTCCCAACATGCCTTTGACTTGGTATCCCATAACCATTTTCTAAAATGCAGTTCAGCAGTTTCCTTCTCTTAGAACCCTTACCTGAGCCTCTCCTCAACCAGGCCATGTTGAATAGCCACTTCCAGTCTTCCTTAATACACTGTGCATCTCTGCAAATTGCATGATGATTAGTACCTTAGTGTTATAACTAAAATACCACAGACGGAGTGGCTTATCAACAAACTTATTTATCTCAGTTTTGGAGGCTGGGACGTCCAAGGCCAAGATGCCAGTAGATCCTGTCTGATGAGAGCTTGTTTCCCAGACAGTCACATTGCCCACATGTGGGAAGGGGCCAGCACATCTCTGGGGCCTCATTTGTAGTGACTCCAATCCTATCACCAGTGCTCCAGCCTCATGATGTAATTACCTTCATACGGTGCCACCTCCCCATATCATCACTTTGGGGTTAAGATTTCAACTCATGAATTTTGGAGAAACACAATCTATAGCAATTAGGAATTGTTTTAATGTTCCATTATCTCTCAGACACATACAGGTGGTATGTTTTGATTCCTAGAGCTTAGCATAGTGCTAAGCACACAGTAAGAACTTAATAAATATCTGTTGAATAAATGAATATGTGCATACCAGATGTGCTTGTCTAATGAATTCTCTAGGCCAGAATACTGGAGTGGGTAGCCTTTCCCTTCTCCAGGGGATCATCCCAATCCAGGGAACGAACCCAGGTCTCCCGCACTGTAGGCAGATTTTTTACCAGCTGAGCCACAAGGAAAGCCCCTTGTCTATTGAACCTTACTATAAAGCTGTTTCATTCATTAAAAACCTACTACATTCAAAATGTTCAGCTTCTGGCTTCTGGGGAGGAGGTAAAATACTACAGTGAGGAAGACACAGGCTAATCCCTGTAGGAACTCACAGTCAAGTGGCAGAGACAGATATGTAAACAAAAAATTATAGCACGATGTGATAAGTACTATAATAGAGGCAGCCATAGCGTACTAATGGAGCCTAAATTAGCCTGCAAATTATTCTGTCATTTTAAATATACAGAAGACAGAGTTAAAGATGAATGCATTGACTAAAGCAGAGGAGACTCTGGAGGTTGTGCAGGAGAAAGTAAGAATTAATGTAATCTCCCAGAACAAAGTTGTCATGGCCACCAACACAGGGAACAGTTTTGTCTAACAGAAATGATGACCCATTCCTAGGCCAGTCACAGAATGACGAAGTGCAAAGGGCAGGGACTCAAACCTGGGCTTGCATCTACTATGTGACCTTGAGCTGGTCAGACAGCGGCTTCCATTGGGATGTTGGTTAGTTCCCTCAAGTAAGAAGTGTTGATTGTCTCGCTTCCTAAAGCCAGGATGTCCACTGGGCTACAGGAGTAGTGGAAGAGGGCTGGCCTGTAAAGAGACTGGAGGGAAGTCGTCCCACGCCCTCATGGATGCACACCCACTCCCAGGCATACCATGGCGCCAACCGCAGTGGAAGGGTTAGTGGGAGACCCTTCACAGTGATGGCTGCAGGTAGCACAGTGGTGAGAGGGACTTAAGGGTCGTGGAGCTCAGAATTCTTCAGGTTATGGCGAAAAGGTTGAAGGATTATGGTTTCATTCTGGCACAAGGGAGGAAGCCCTCCAGCTGATGATGCTAAGCAAACTAACTGGTAAATCTCAGTCCCTTTAAGCTTCAAGACAAGTTGGTGGGACTTATCTGTATTCCACTTACCCTCTTAACCTATATAGAGCCATTTCGATTTGGCTCATTCCTTTTAAAGATGATCTATACCTCCACAGCCCTTACAGGCTCTCTTCGCTTCATCCACCCTTTAGTGAACAGTCCCATTATTAAATTCCCAGCTGAGTGGGGGCTACCTCTTTCTGCAGCAATTCTGGGGGAGCCAATCACAATATGAGCTCCTCCCGGGGTATCTGATACACCTCTGGGTTCTCAGCACTTTTTATTTGTTGTTATTTACTCACTAAGTTGTGTCTGACTCTTTTGTAACCTCATGGACTGTAGCCTGCCAGGCTCTTCTGTCCAAGGGCTTTCCCAGGCAAGAATACTGGAGTGGGTTGCCATTTCCTTCTCCAGGGGATCTTCCCGACCCAAGGATCAAACTTGCATCTCCTGCATTGGTAGGCGGATTCTTTTCCACTGAGCCAACTGGGAAAGCAGCACTGTTTATGGTAGCAGGTAACTTCTAGATGCCAATAAACTTTGTTTGCATGGATTAGTTCTGGTATTGTGGTTTTCTTAATATCTGCCTGGGGCAGGGGAAGTTTCTCTTACCCTTGGATTTCCTGATCATTACTGCTCTCATCACCCAGAGCTGTTTGTATTTATCTAGAAGCCCTGCTGCCTCTGAACCAATATCACCCCCACAGTCTTCTAATGGCTCTTTTCCCTAATAAAAAGTAGGTGTTTCTGGAAATAATTAGATGTGTGTCACGCCCAGTTGAAGCCAGGTTCAGGGAGACTAGGATCTTTCATCTAGTGGACTTTGCATCCTTAGGGCCCCTCATCCATTTGCTATACAAGCAGCTGAGAACTGAGTTAGAATGAAGTGTTTCACCCACTGGGTTATTTCTGTCCCATCTAACAGCACTTGTTTCTCTCGGAGGTCATTGTTACTGCCCTGCTTTTTAAAAGTTAGAACATTTATTAAAGGTTCCCATCTGAAGTCTGTTTGGTGAAACCACGTGTGGGTTTACACCCACCAAACCAAGCCAACTCTGAAAGGCATCAGAACCTTTTTTTTTTTCTTCTTCTTTTCCAATCTATGAGAACTTTCCTGGCCTTCCATGTTGGCTGTTGTGTTGGGAAAGCCGATCCAGATCTACCTTATCTCCAGGTCTGCTTTCGCAGTGGAAAGCAGTGTCTGTATTAACCTTCTTGGACCCACTCAAAGGAGCAAGGCTCTCTTGATAATTTTGATGGTGCATTTTCAGTTGCCAGGCCAAAGAACTCTTCCTGTTTACAAGCATGAAATTGACTCACATTGTCTTGAAGGTTCAGAGCAGGAAAGAACCGTTTGAGGTCAGATGAGAAATTAAAGCTCAGAGAGGTAAGGGACTTGCCCCAAATCACACA